GCGGCCGCCGGCGGGGCCCACAAGTGGGGCCGTGCGGGGAGGAGCGGGGCTGCAGCCGGGGGCGGGGGCCAGGCGGCGGCACCCCCCAGGCCCTCTCCGGAGGCTCGACTCCTTTCCAGAGAGGAGGCACGCTGAATGGGGGTCCGGAAGCCAGCCCAGTTGCGGGGGGAGTGCGGGTAGGCGCCGGGTGAAAATTAGGAAACCCCCCCAGTGTCACCCCCGCACCAGCCGCAGTGACTCCCCAGCTTGCGGGCAGGAGGACAGGAGCGGGGAGCCAGCCTCCCTCTGTCGGGTAGATAGGGGTGCGGGGCGTCCTGCCCCCACCGACTCCGGAAGCAGCGCCGGGAAGGCGAGACTGGAGGGGGTGGGGCGGGGAGACCCTAGAAGCCGGGAGCGGAACTGAGGAGCGGGTCCGTTGGGAGAGGCTGCAGATGTACCAAGCACCTAGGGTGGGGCTGCAGAACGTGGACACACATTTGGGACTTGGGACATCTGAAATGCGAGGGAGGGGGCGGCGCCCTGGGAGTTAGGGCCCACGAAAGGAAACAAAGTGCTCCGGTCCGCGGAGATGAGGAGGAGGGACGAAATCAAAGATACTACACGTTCACCCCATCAGAAACCACCTGCTATCTCCCTGCCCCCCTCCCCCAACATTCCTGATCGCTTCAGGGGCTTCTGAGCCCTGGGAAGATTTTCCACAGCAGTAACTTATTTAATAAATGGAAAATCGACTTTGGTTATTCTTTCCACATGGTTTGGTTTCAGATTCCCATTTGGGGTGACTGCTACGTACCCTTCGCTGAAGAGGAGCTGCCTAGGGGATCTGAGGCAGGCGGAGGCCAGAATGCAGATGCCCCCAGGCAGCTTGCCAAAGGGTCTGCACCTTCTCCTGGAAAAGCCTGCCTCAGAACACTTACCCATCTGGGCCCAGACCCCAGGGAATAGCCCCTTGTCCTCTCTTGTTGAGGCCTTGCAATCCTCTAGCCATGCTGAGACAGACGAATATGCTCAGCCACAGAGACATCTGATGGTAAAAACCACAAACCAAAGTGCCCCAGACACCAACCTGTTTCCATCATTTGCATGTCAAGGGTAAGTTTCTCCAGCAAGTTGGGAACCTGGGAGGGAGCGAAACCTGAGAAGGGCACCCTCCTAGAATGCCCAAGGTTAGGTTGCCAAGGCAACAGTGTGCAGAGCAGAGCTCCAGGACTGTGTTCCCAGACCCCTCTGAGGAGCACTTCTCTCCCACTCGTGCTTCTTCCTTCACTCTGTGGTGCATCAATGTTAGACAGCCATCGGACTCCCAGAAGGTGGCCCCTAGACCCCAGGTTAAAACCAGTTACCACTGAGCCGATTCTGACTCACGGCAACCCCATGTGTATCAGAATATAACTGTGCTCTGTAGGGTTTTCAGTGGCTGATTTTTTGGAAGTAGATCTCCAGGAGAGGTGGCTCTGGGTGGACTCGAACCTCCAGTCTTTCAGTTAGTAGCCAAACATGTTAACCGTTCGCACCACCCAGAGTCTCCTAGACGTAGGTTAAAGACCCTTAATCTAGCGGGAATGACCCATGCCTCTATGCTAACTTCCTGAGTTGTAACTGAGAGCTCAGGATTTATCCTCCTCAAGAGTAGAGTCTAGGTTATGTTATCAAGTGTGTTACCTTACATTTACCCACAGTGCAGTTCATCTGCCACTTCCCTGCTTACTTGCAGGATCCCCCTGCAGCTCATCTCTGTCACTTTGGCATTTTGGGATTCAGACATTGCATCTGCAAACTTGAAAATTTCCCTGTTTGCGCTCGCCTCTGGATTGCTCATAAATTTTTAAATGTATTATTACTACATTCTTCAAATAAAACGAATCGCTGTCGTGGATGCTCTTTGAAGCACACTCTTCTTGTGCTTTGCTAACACTCCTCTGGCTCAGTGGCTGGAAGCCTCCGGCCTCTATTGGTTATCAGGTTCTGTTCATTCCCCCTTCACTCTCCTCTTCCCTCATCCCTCACCTCTGCCTTGGTTCAGGGTCCTATTCTCAGAGCATAAGATGTCCCTTTTGCTTTAAGCCCACCCCTCCTGCTGTTTCAAGAGACTCTTCTTCCTTTCTCCTCTTCCCTCTGCTTCACACCTGTAAGCACTACAAAATATCCCCTCCTAAGAAAATCTTTCCCCAGCCTTGTCCTGCCCTCAAGCCATTGCCCTATGCCCTATTTCTCTCTTTCCTATTCATCAATAAATTTCCTCTAAAAAGAAGCCATATTAATCTCTCTGCATCCTCCACCCCTATTCAGTCTTTAACCTCCTGCAGTCTGGCTTTTGGCCCCATCATTCCACAGGCAGCTCTCAATGGCAGGCACCAGTTACCTCTTCCCTACACCTCCTCTCACCACCACCCCCCCATTCCCATTGCAGCCCACAAACCCCTCTTCTGGGATGAACAGAGTGGAGAGGGTACCGACTTCTGACTGCTCTACTTGGAAGCTGTATGACTTGGGGCCAGTCATATCCAGGTGCCTGTGGATATGACTCCATGTCTCACTTTCCTCGTCTGTACTTGGAGCTAACAGCAGTGCCTACCTCAAGGGATTGTAGTGGGAATTAAGCAAATCAATACACATGAAGTGCCCAGAACAGTGCCTGGCAACTTAAATGTTCAATAAATGCTAGTATTCTTATTAATAGTATTACTGCAGCTACTTCCAGATGGAGGGGGCTGATGACTCCCAAATCTATACCTACACCCCACTTCTCTCTTGAGCCCCTGCCTGGAATGTGTAGCTGCCATGGGACAGGCTGTGCCACAGCCACCTTACCTTTACCACGACCAGTCTGGCACCCATCATCTCCAAATCCTCCTTTGCCAAAATTCTCTATCCTGCCCAAGGGCGCCTCCCATTCACCTGAGCTAAAAACTTGGGCTACCTTTCTCCTCTCCCACATTCAAACCCCTAATGGAACTCAGGCCTTTCTACTTCTTAAATTCTCTTCATCTGTCCTGTCTCCATTCCCACTGCTCTGCCCCCTGCCACCAGACCCCCAACCCTTCAATCCATCCTCCTCAGTGCTGGCAGTTATTTTTCCACAGTATACATTGATGATGTCTCTCCCCTGTGGAAAACCTACGAATGACTCCCCATTGCTTGGAAAATGAAATGTTAAATCCCTAGAGGGGCTCTTCCCAGTTTGCCTTTAACCTACGTTCCAGGCCCTCCTAGTTCCTGTCCTCATCCCAGCCACCCTACCACCCAGCCCCATGCTAGAACCCTCTAAGAACACTTGCTATTCCACAGAGTAAATAGGAAGGTAATGACAGCCTCCTGTTAACATTCTGGGATATGAAGTGCAAATACATGGGAGTGTATGTTGGTATCTGCCGTGTCTCAACTCTCTTACGAGGATGAGGCTGGCGGAGAGCTTTTGGGATCTGGCTTAGAAATGGTGGGTTCCAGCTAGACCATAGGGAAAACAGGACATTTCCCTTCTAGAATTTCCTCAGCCCAAGACAAATGTCAGGACGTTAATGGTGGATGAAAATATATAGCCATGGCTTTGGAACGAACCACACTGTCCCAGTCACCAGGAGACCCTCTCCTCTCCAGGACTACCAAAGGCAGTTCAACAAGGCCCAAGGTGGAAAAGAGAGTGGCTTGACCATCCAGATAATGAGGGTAATCATGTCCCTTTCTCCATCTTCACCAATTTGACCAGGAACTTGGAGAAAATGTTTAGAGAATTGGTAGCATCACTTGGGGATTTTGAAAGAACTCAAGGGAACTCATGGAACTCATGGAAGCTGTGGCCAAATGGATGCTTGTAGGATTCTCTTCTGAGAGAAGGGTTCTCGGGGACCCTCACCCCTTCCCCAGAGCACCAGCACCAATGTCATGCCTGGGGCACTTTCCTTGACCCCTTCTTCCTCTGCCTAATAAATTGCTCCCTTGCAAACCCTTTGTTCATCCTGCCAGCCTATAGCACATGGTAGTATAGTTGGTCTCTAGTGAGCTCCTGGGAGGTTGTGGTGTCTTCTGACTCTGTGCCTGCACCTCCCAGCCCAAAGCCTGGCATGCCCCCAGAGAGTGAGTAAATACTTGCCAAGGGACTAACTTCCGACGGGTGGGTGAGACAAGTCTGGTTTGCCTTACAAAAGCCATGTGTCTTCCCCTTTGTTGGTAGCAAAAGGCTCTGGTGATCCTGCCCCCGCCAGAGGCTGCCAGCTCATCTTCTATGAAGCAGGGAGTGGAGATTAGTTATAGACAAATGGAATCTGATGTAACCATTAAAATTGTGTTTTTGAAGGATATTTATTTACTATCTGGAAAAAATGTTCATGATATAACATTTTGGAAAAGAAGGCTACAAACAGTATATGCAATATGATCCTGTTTATTTATTTTTATTTAGTTTTAAATATAGAAAAAAAGACTAGAAGAAGATATGCCAAAATGTTAACAATTGTTGGATAAGGGTTTTATAGATAACTTTAATTTCGTTATGAATATTTTTCTGAGATTTTTCAAATTCTCTACAACGAATATATATTCCTTTATTATAATCCAAGTATATATGTATATATACATATATACCTATATTTTGGAGCCCTGGTGGCGTAGTGGTTAGGAGTTCAGCTGCTAACCAAAAGGTCAGCAGTTCAAATCCACCAGCTGCTCCTTGGAAACCCTATGGGGCCGTTCTACTCTGTCCTATAGGGTTGCTATGAGTCGGAATGACTCGTGGGCAATGGGTTTTATACCTATATTTAGCCTTCAAGATAGTTAATTATTGAAAGAAATAAGACTAAACACAAATAACTTTCCATAATTATGTTTGACTTCAGTCTACTTCAATCCAGTTCCATGACCACTTTTGTTCACCTCCTATGTGTCCATACTAAGACCCCAAAGATGAACAATATGTAGCCCCTCCCCACCCTCAGCCTAAGGGGAAGGCAGATGTGAAGCAGCTAGCAAATATTATAAGGCCAGTGTGACACTTGCTGTCTTAGTCATCTAGTGCTGCTACGACAAGTGGATGGGTTTAACAAAGAGAAATTTATTTCTTCACAGTGAAGTAGGCTAAAAGTCCAAATTCAGGGCGTCAGCTCCAGGGGAAAGGCTTTCTCTCTCTGTTGGCCTTCTTCTCTTCGGTGCTCCCCTGGACTAGGAGCTTCTCCATGCAGGGACCCCAGGTCCAAAGGATGTGCTCTGCTGGCACTGCTTTCTTGGTGGTATGAGGTCCCTGTCTCTGCTCACTTCTCTCTTTTATATCTCAAGAGATTGCCTCAGGACACAATCGAATCTTGTAGATCCAGTCCTGCCTTATTAACACAACTGCCACCCATTCTCCCTCATTAACATCATGGAGACAGGATTTACAACACATAGGAAAATCACACAATACCAGGAATCATGGCCCAGCCAAACTGATACACACATTTTTGGGGGGACATAATTCAATCCATGACACTTGCTAAAATCAAGGTGTAAGCAAAGGGCTCTGGTGCTGTGCAGGGAGGAAATGATTAATTGTGATGGAAGAAGAGGTCAGAGAGGGCCTTTGAGCTGTGCCTTGACAGACAACAATGATTTTACTTGGGGACAAGGGCATTCCCTACTGGAGAATAGCATAAGCGAAAGCATGGAGGTGGGGGATTTGGTGGCATATTTAGATGTGGGTGAATATCTACTGTGGCCAGTGTCAGGTGAATGGCATCCATGGGGTGGGTGATGGGCAATACAGTAAGATGAGCCTGGAAAGGTACGGAGGGGGTCCCCATCTTCTTTGAGCAATTCCTTACTTTCTAGTGCAAAGAGATGTTTCAACCACCATGGTAAAGATTGAATCAGGCAAGAATCATCAATGGAAGACAAATCGAGGGGGAGATTTTGATGAAGAGAAGGATATTTACATGGTTTTAAGTGTTTCCCTCACAGACTGTTTATTAGTTGCAAGGGGAAAAACTAGTAATTATACTGTGAGAAACTCGGCAACACCCTGACTAGGTGGTCAACGTTAACATAATCTATGAGGGATGGAAAAGGAGCCCTGGTTGCACAGTGGTTAAGTGCTCCGCTGCTAACCAAAAGGTTGGGGGTTTGAACCCACCAGCTGCTGTGTGGGAGAAAGATGTGGCAGTCTGCTTTCGTAAAGATTACAGCCCTGGAAACCCTATGAGGCAGTTCTACTCTGCCCTGTAGGGTCTCTGAGTCAGAATCCACTGGACGGCAACAGGTTTGGATTTTTTTTTAATGAGGGACAGAGGGACATCGTATGCCTCTAGATGTGGTACCCTGGAAAGGACATGTTGCCTATGCAGCATTCTAGGTGAGAATGCATAATCTCAGTTTAATCACAAGAAAACATCAGACAGACACAAAATGAGGAATGTCCTATTAAAGAAAAATAAGGCAGGGGGAGCTGTATTTTTTCTTTTAATGTCCACTATGTAAATGTTCCAGATTTAAGGATCCTAAAGACACATGACAACTAAATGTAATACCTGACCCTAGACTAGCTCCTGTACTGGAGAGGGAAAAATGCTACACATAATTTGATTTTAAATAAATTTAAAATAAATCAATTTATTTAATTTTTAAATAAATTTGACTTAATTGAATAAATTTGATTTTATGTAATCAACTGACAAAATTGGAATATGGACAGTAGACTAAATAAAACTATTATATAAATGTAAATTTATGAAGTTGATAACTGTGCTGTGGTTATGTAAGAGTGTGTCCCTGTTTTTAGGAAATACACCAAGTAGTATTTAGGGGTAAGGGCTATGATATATGAAACTCTTGAATATTTCAGGAAAAAAAAAGATATAAAGTCCAAATGATAAAGCAAATGGGAAAAAATGTCAGTAATAATCAATCTGGGTGTTCCTTGTACTATTTTTATTTTTGCAACTTTTGGTAAGCTTGAAATTATTTCCAAATAAAGAGCTTTTAAAAACTCTTCCAGGCTCACTTTGTATTTTCCCTGCCCAAGTCCTGCAATCAACCTTTTCTCCCAGGGGTTCTGGTGAACAAAAGTATCTAACTGAGTTAAAATAATGATAATAAAAAAAGTAGGTGAGTGAAAACAAGGAAAAAGCATTCCAAGTGTCATGGATTGAATTGCATCCCCCCAAAATATCTGTCAACTTGGCTAGTTCATGATTCCCAGTATTTTATGATTGTCTACCATTTTATCATCTGATGTGATTTCCCTATGTGTTGAAAACTCTATCACTATGATGTATTAAGATGGATTAGCAGTTATATTGATGGCGTCTACAAGATTAGGTAGCATCTTAAGCCAATCTCTTTTGAGATATAAAAGACAGAAGCAAGCAGAGAGACATGGGAGCCTCACACCACTAAGAGAGCAGTGCCGGGAGCAGGGCACGTCCTTTGGACCTGAGGTTCCTGCCCTGAGATGCTCCCAGACCAAGGGGAAGACTGATGCAACACAGGGACCTTCC